GCTCCATTTTCTGCGTCGATGCCGTGGGCCGGTGACCGTTATACAATTTAAAATCAGTTTGCATTGTTTACTATAGCTGTTTACAGTGTTCTAATCATTACGATTTACTTTTTTTTTGCTTCCATTCTAGATAATTATGCTCAGTGATGTAAAATTGAAGCGATGACTGAATGAACGAACCTTGATGTATCTGGAAGTGTACACATTTGTTGGAAGTGACAAAAATATTCAATGAAATGACAAAAATTGTAAAATGTTGTGGAATTTCTTTCTCAAATAAAAATATACTAGCAATTTTCTATTAATGGTTTATTCAAGTGGGCAAAATATAAATGTACAGAAAGATTGCCCGTATACACTGAAAAGTAAGCAACCGACAGCCTGTATAAAAGGGGGGCTGTGATTGGCTGTTACTTACGCGAGATTTGAACGGGACTTACATAGGCGTCGGATCAGATGTAGGTAGGGCGGAATTAAAAAAAATCAAAATCAAAGTAAAATAATAAAATAAAAGGGCATTAATAACAAAAGTAAAAAAAAAAAAAATTAAAACAAGTTTATAGCCAAAATAATTAAAGCCCGTACACTACATCAGATTTTAATCAGATTGCCCCCGTCCCATCCGCAAAGATGAGAGATTACGTTTCAAAACACCATACCATATTGGCTCTATTAAAAGCTCATATCCAATTGAAGCTCGTTTTGTTTGTTGTATACTGGATCATTAACATATAATTTATTTTGACTGCAGAAACACCTCTGTAATTTAATTAAGCAAGCACCACTAATAGACCAATTACGATATTTACTTTGTTAGCAGCACATAGATTTGATTGGCTTTTATGTAATATATATTATAATATTATGACCCACTTCTAACAAACAAAATGTGGTAAAACAAACATTCTAACGAATGAAAGGTAGAAAAATATACTGAGAAATTGATACTAAACATAAGACAAACATATAAACAGTTACTAAAATAAACATTCAGAAGTTAATACAAATTAGAAATAATTAGGAATCGTTTGCAATGATTGTTAAGTAGTACATGGCTAAAAGGATGTAAATAACTTATCATGATGGCGTAGCCTTCCCTTCCCACCTCTGTATTTTCCATTTCATTTACATAATATAGTTACAGCAATATTTCATTCAATCATTTTTTTATACAAATTGTTAAGAACCACGATATGAATATTTTACATCATCATTCTGCTTGATCCTCCACTAATAAACATAATAATATGAACTAAAACATTTGGTCACTTGAGAAACAATGATACAAACAAAATTGTCGAAACAGACTGGTATATACAGGGAGAGTTGGTCCAGAGCACTTCACACTCTACACATTGCCAAGAAATAGACGAGAGAGCAATGCAGAGACAGGCAGGCAGACAGACAGACAGACAGACCAGAAGCACGTTACAATGCTGGTCAATAGATCTAGTGGTTAGATTGGCTTCAACTGCTTTCTTGTGATGTTGTGAGGAATTCTTCAGAACGTCTGTGATCTGTTAACGCCCGTACTGTGTAAGCATCGTGAGGCAGTTCAGACTTTCGTCTCAGAAGTGGTTTGTTTTCCGGTTTTGCTTTTGAGATCTATAACGGAGCATAACAATTAACATCACACTTTGATTTGTCGTACTTACATGCAGATACAACTTTCCTATAAAATCACACCCTCTAGTGACGAAGCGCTTATATGATGTATATTGGTCACCTGAAGGAAAGTGTCGATATCGTTATGGTTTGTAGTCGCCCACCAAGGAAAATTATATTTTACTATATTCTACACAATGAACGACTAACACAACCAAAAACAGATATCGATTTAACCGACATTGTCGACATATATACGTCATTTCGACATCACCGAAGTGCTTCGTCAGAGGAGGGTGCGACAGTCTATTGAGAGAATGATAAGGAAGGGGGGTAGGTAGCGGCAGTGACGGTGAATGAAAGCCCCAGGTGCTGCATTTTACTAAATATGCTACTATCATACCTGTGACAACAGCACACCTAGGTTTCTGTACAAATATACAGCATCACCTCAAGCCCTGCCGTGACAAGAAAGGAAACAAAAGTGATACACATATGGAAAAACGCACTTTTCACGCAGTTTGATAGATGTAAGAGTGGTGATGGGTGGGGTTGCTGCATGTGTGCAGTAAGAAGATTCACAATTATAAACATTAAGATATAGCCATCCGGACTACACCTACTCACCAATTTTCTGCAGAGCATACAAGCAGCCTATGGCACAAAGACAGATAACCCACACAATAACATTTACATTACCATCGAATAGTTTAGAGTTTTATTATAGCATTTTAATTTACGGCACACCCACATTATGAGATTATGAGCAAAGTTTATGTTCCGAGTTTATTGTACTGCATTATAGTAGCATTACCATATCCAGGACAAACATTTCTAAATGATTCCATATTTCCTACATGCTACATGTATCATGAATACAGAGCACCAAAACTGGCACATTTATCACCAAATCTCAGAGAGAAAAAATCCTAGAAATGTAATTATCAGTCAAAAGCCACTGCACACAATTTACTCACTTTTTTAACCTCCTTTACTCCTGTGTCTAATTCCATGCGATCTGGTACATGCAAATCGTCTTGATCACACATAGAAACCGTTGTATCCATGGCATCAATGTTAAATTTTTTCCCTACTTTCTCAGACTGTATAGAGAAGGCAAAAGAGGAGCAATTTATTATTTATATTGAGCAGGAAATGAATTAAACACAACCTGGGATATTATGAATTTCACCCGGAAATTACTTATACTTCCTTTTTGTGAATATACAATACTTAAGAATCAAAGTCACTCAGACAATGTATCATGACACCTGACATGCATTTTATAATGTAATTTATATTACAGAGCTAATCATGGAATTATTTCAGTGTTCATCGCCCACCTACCAACTTTTGGTGCCGCCTTTTCATCTCTAAAAAATGTTTTTGATAATAACACAAAGAATCAAGTATTATGCTAGTTATAGGCGAATTGGAATGCATTTCTGGCTTTTCAGTCGTATATACGACATAGAATTAATCTAGCCTGCAGTAACTTATGAGTTTGGGGAAAGTACTTTGGAGTTGAGAAGGAACCCAGTTTTGAGGCCAAATTAGATAAAATTGCTTTAACATATAGAAATTATAGAAATATTTTTCAAAGGGCATCTTTGCAATTTTTTTTTAGATGCCTTCATGAAGCTAAAATGTCTTGTTATTAAAACCTTTTTATATTATATCAATTTGATCTTAGATCTAGTTACCAGTGCACATCATGTCCAACTATCAGACACCTCCTCCTTAACATGATTAGTAAACCAATTACAATGTGCCTTACAACATTAGACATGTTTTCAGTACAAAGTGACCTGTAAGATGTTTTCTAATTGGATGCAGCTCCAATGAGAGCTGTATACGTTTTGATTAGTCATTTGGAGAGATGTAGTTTGCTCGCTATTGCTGCATTTCTAGCAAGACGTGCAGAGGATCTAAACATTTATGTTTACATGCAAGTGGCAGGAAAGAAAGAAAAATAAATCCATATACAGGGCAACTTTATAACATGGAGTTGGTGACACTCACGCCGCATACACATCAAAACAAAACACTACACATTCAAATTAAAATAAGTGAAAACAGAATGCAGAATAATGAAAGGGAAGCCACATAAGAATGTCTATATATGAGAATAGAAAAGACTTATAAGACCATCCAGTCACAACATCATTACATTAATATAAATTATACCAATGAGACATCAACACCTAGTAGCGTGTATGTTAAGTCATGCATAATTCCCTCAGCTGTAACAACAAATACGCCAGCTCTTGTCAGTAGTACTGTAGAATACTTTATTTTCGCTATTTTCGCTGAAGGATTATTCCGTGAAAATAAAATCCAGCGAATATACTTTTTCTCATATATTTCACATTAAACTCATCAAAAATCAGTGAAAATAAATTCCATATAAAATGCTCAAAATGCCTTTTCAGCGAAAATTAATTCCAGCGAAAATAAAGTATTCCACAGTATCTTTTATCAGACTTGCAAATCTTATGATGATTCACGCCATCATCACTGAGTGAGCACTTCATGCACGTTGTGTTACTCGACTAAGCCATAGAATTTGACATGACAGTGTGCTGGCTAGCCATCAGAATCATACCACAAACCACAAACATGCCATACATTCACTCACCATAGGGTTCACTTTAGCTAAGGTATGGACTTTATGCCAAGCTGTTTCTCTTTCTTTCAGCTTCTCTTTTTCTCTGGGGACAATGAAAACAAATGATTAAATTAAAAAATAAACCACCACTCTATGTGATTTGTCACGGGAGAGTTTAAGAAAAACTCATGACTGTCTTAGCCAGTGTTTGAAAGAGTATTTACATGATGAAATATGCATGATTTGAACAAGTATAACTGTACACAGAGTAAGAGAAAGAAATTACATATTTCAATGGTATATTGCTGGTATACATGCTTATGTGAGGGATAGAGGTGAATCTATTCTGAACATATAGGCCATAGAATAAGCATACAATAAATGTACTTTTTTGGTTTATGTGCACTTCTATTGGAGATGCACTTCTAATAAAGCAAATACAGTAGTTTTATTCAAACAATATGTTTAGAATGTTTCTGGCAAAAATATGGAGAACTGCTCCTTTGAACAATAATAATTATCACTGCTGGGAATTGTGGACAACATGACGATGTGGTTGAATTCTTTGTAGGAAAGACTATGCGAATACGTGGATCTGGTAAACAATGTTTTAATAAAAATGAAGTCGCCATTGTACTCATGACAGAAGTGGCATGGCTTTATGAGGAAGAGACCGTACACAAAAAAATATTTGCCACCACGATTTTGTTTATATTTTTTTTTGAAAAAAAGGTAAAATTAAATTCACATGTGAATAATTTTGAAGCCCGTCGATTTGAAAACGAAAAATTCAAACGAAAATGTGAATGTGAATACTCAGAATGATTGGATGGCTACGTGGAAGATGACTCGGTTATAAGACAAACTTTGTATTTGTTATCAGTACAGGTTCATACACGTCACAATTAGAATCTAGCAAGCCGCATGAAGTGAACTGATTACAAATAAAATCAGGACTTTCACATGACAACCAAGCTGATACCGTGATGAGAGTAAATAAATAAATAATACTCACTTTTGTCTTTCTTGTTTGTATTGTTGAGTGCATTCATCAAATAATTTTTGATTCATTTCCATAAACAGTTTCAGAGCATTGTAGATAAGGCCGTGAATTGTTCTAAAATTATGAAAAATCAGAATTATTATTTTTTAGTTTTACAAATATGGACATAAGTTGGATGATAAAACAAGAAGCCTTTTGTCTGAGATAGCTCCGCTGTTAGTAATACACATTTCAATTAGAGAATTGAAGATATCATCACGAAATTAACAAATCTGAGAGAGATACCTATGGCTATGAGAAGTATAGTATCGAAGCAATTGGACTTTTTAACAATAAGTCAAAAATATCAATTTTGACCAAAAATTACAAAAATATCCATCAAAATATCATCACAAAATAACAAATCTGTGAGAGGTCTACCTGTAGTATCTATATGTATAATATCAAAGCAAAGCAAATGGATCTGCCATTTTTCAACAAGAAGTTGAAAATACCACTTTTTACCAAAAATTACAAAAATAATCAACAAAATTAGAGAATTAAAGATATTAATTAACCTGGATTGAACAAATCTAAGAGAGGTCTATCCAAGTATCAAAGCAATCAGGCTTGTAGTTTTTCAAGAAGTTGAAAAAGTAAAAGGTAACGTGGAACGTGACAGACAATCATATGATAAGCTCTGCTCGACAAAGTCAACAGTGGAGGCTAAAAAGTTGCAGCGGAGGACGACGACGGACAATCACTCATATGATAAGCTACGCTCAACAAAGTTTGAGCTAAAAAACAGGAATGACATAAATTATGATAGAAAATAACACAAATGATAGCAAAATATCACTGAAAGTGAAATGTAGCTAAAATATTCATTTAATCTGACATGTACATGTCTGTACTTACTTATTCCAATGTGCTTTGGAGTTTTTGTAGAGTGAAGGAAACATGATAGGCAGAATTACTTGCGCATTATCACTGATTAGACTCATTATGTATTCATTGTTCCAGTAATATAACGCCCTCTCTGCAACCTGTGAATCGAGGTGGTTTAAAATCATACTTAATATTACAACGCTGGGTAATAAAGCCAATTACGCAATATAACAGGTCATTAGTGCAATGATATCACAGCGTGTTCACAGTATTGGATTTTTTCTTTAGCTCCACGGTCGGCTACAGCTGAAGTCTTTTGTGTGAATGGTTGAGAGTAAACGCTATAATGGTATCAAGCTGCTGGATTGAACAGTATACAGATTAATACAAATACTGAAATAACTTTGCCCTTTTGGTGTGAAGGTGAAAAACACAATGGTTGATTGACAAACCAGACAATGTAGCGTGATATAAATAGCATTGCTCTCTCTCTCTCTCTCTCTCTCAATAGAAAGCTGTATAATATCACAAGAATATGCATGAAGACAGTACAGAAATTGTATCAATCGATGCATAGCAGAAGCAGATATCCTTATTCTATACATCTTTTTCTTGCCTGTAGTAAAAATGTAATGAGAGAAAACAGCCCCAAATAGCCAATTTTGCACTGTGCTGTTTGCATACAGTGACAAGATTTTATTTGCACAGCTGTGTCGAATATAAACAAAAGGAAGTCTTCAATTGTGACATCAATAACCTTGAGCGTGTCATTGTTGGTAAAATAGGTTTACTCCAAAATAGGGAAAAATTTGTATACCGTAAAATCTGTATTAGAAGCCGCATCCCTAATAGAAGTCGCACCCATTCTTTTTGAATAATTTAGAATAAAAAATTCATCATTTCTCATATGTGTACATGCTCTAATAGAAGCCGCATCCCCTCTGTTGCATTGTACCATTTTAATAGAAGCCGCGGATTCTAATACAGATTTTACAGTATTAAGGGGTTAGCATACGTTCGCTGGTTCAATTTTTTGGACTCAATTTACAGACTGAAACATACATTTTACCCATACATGTTATGTACCATAATAAAGATCTTTTTTCAAACTTTGAAAATATGGCAATTTTTTTAAATTATGCAAATACCAAGTCACAAGAATACGCGAAAATGGAGTAAAACGGTTAATGACGCAATTAATAATTAATTTGCAGCACGACTGAATATATTTTTTTATGTAAATATTATAGAAGGATGCTTCATATATAATGTTTTTCGTTTTTTTGCAACTATAATTTGTTTTTATGTAGCCTTATTTCAAATGTTTAATGTTAATACCTGAGTAAAAACAACATGTCTCTATATAAAAATAAGCAAAAAATCAAAACGAAGGCAGACAGAAAAAAAATCCAGGAACATTCCTCCAGTACTCTATATAGCGGTAAAGTTGACCAAAAATTGCGACGATCTGACCTTTCGTTTGTTAGAAATTGCGTACTGAATCTGTAGAACTACGTAGAAATCAATTTCAAGATAAATGCAAAAAACGTCCAATTTTGAAAAATATAGAGTTATAATTATTGAAACATGTCTGCCTAGCGACCAGCTACTAAATAATGCCTTTTAATGCCGGGGCTAAATGTTATACGCGTTAAAGACAGGATGAAATATGTTTTGAAATCTCAGAACGGCCCTACCGTGTGTCAACCGAAAGTGACGTAGTGATTTGCATATTACTAATATGGTGTGGAGGCGGAGTTATTCCAAATAAAGAAAATGGTTTAAGCCGTGTGCACAAGATATTTTCAAGTTTGTTTTGATTACTGTTCACTATAAAACTGATAGCCGTGTGGTACGCCGTGGAAAGCGTGCGAACACAGTTTCTTTTTTAGTAAGGTAAGTGTGGGTGGTGGGTGTGAGGCGGCTGTGACAGCTAGAGCAAGGTTTGCTTGGGTGAAGTTTAGGGAATGTGGAGAGCTACTATATGGGAAGAGATTTCCCTTGGAGATGAAAGGAATAGTTTATAAGAGTTGTGTGAGATCAGCATTGCTGTATGGGAGCGAGACATGGTGTTTGAGTGAAAATGAGCTGGGTATTTTAAGGAGGACAGAGAGAGCGATGGTGAGAGTGATGTGTGGGGTGAAGTTGATGGACAGAAAGAAAACTAAGGACTTGATGCAGATGTTGGGTTTGAAGGAAGCGGTAGATCGGTTGGCGAAGGCAAATGGGGTACGTTGGTATGGGCATGTGCTGAGGAGGAAGGATGGGCATGTATTAAGAAGGGCCCTTGATTTAGAGGTGAGCGGTCCAAGGAAAAGGGGAAGGCCAAAGAAGACGTGGAAGATGCAAGTGGAGGAGGAGAGTGGGAAGGTTGGGATGAGGATGAGGGATGCTTTAAATCGTGCAAAGTGGAGGGAGGGGGTAAGAGCAATTGCCACTAGTTTAAGGTGAATCCGGCCACCCTCGTCTTCGGGAACCAAACCGGATTTAAAACTCTGGACTACTAACCGTTGTGCGAACAAGAGCAATGACTTCGCCTTTTTTCGCTCGTTTTTGTGACCGCTTGTTGAATTCGACTGGACAATTTCCGCTTTATTTTCGATCGCAAAAACCCCGAAATATCACCGCTCGCTCGCAGAAAATTACCGAGGTTCACATGGTCTTATAATTGTCTTACTGGTTTTTATAAATGTTGAACAGCCGACACAAATTCAAATTCTTTTCGTTTTAACTACCTATAATTATATGCACGCAATCTGATCCTTTGACTTCGATTTGGCTTTGATTGAATATTTTATTTTCAACAATATTCTGACGAGAAATACAAAATGTATTTCAACACAAGTACGACATGGTTGTCTGGGTTTTCTTGCCCGATTATTGAGTCTTCGCAATGTGTTTACGGTTTGTATAATTATTGTTGTTTTCCTCAAGACGAAGACAAGCTGAAGGACCATGAAGCTAAATGGCAGTTCCATGCATGGGCTGAGTGAAAGAAAATATTTAATCTAAGCCTAAAATAAAAACTAAT